CTGACTGACTGACCGCCCCACTGACTGACTGACTGACTGACCACCCCACTGACCGCCCCAGTGACTGACTGACAGGCTGGCTGGCCCGCTGGACTCCGAGAGGGGCAGCAGTCGGAAGGGGGAGATGCCGGGAGGGCTGGGGCGGAGAGGCTTGAGGCGGCGGCTCCTGGAATCACTTGATCTCTCCGGATCTCGATCGGAATCTCCGCCCCAGTCGGCCGGCAGGAGCCCCGCCCCCCTCTGTCCGCCCAGCGGCCCCCTCTGTCCGCCCAGCGGCCCCCTCTGTCCGCCCAGCGGCCCCCTCTGTCCGCCCAGCGGCCCCCCCACCAGGCCACCAGCCTTCCAGCCTTTTCTTACTGTGTTTGGATAAAGGTTTTTTTATTCCGTTTTATACCATTTTCTCAACCTTTGTATTCACTGAAAAAAAACCACATGAATTGGAATAAAACATTTTTATGAATTTAAAGAAAGGAGTTGCTGTGGGTTTTTTTTTTTTTCCCCAGTCGTGAAGGATTATGGAACAACTGGGTCTCATTAGGCGTCCGTACAGCGGCGTGGCGGTCAGCACCGCTGCCCTCCAGCTGTTGGGACCCGGGTTCGATTAGATGTGATTGGATTCTGCTCCTGAGGGTCTTCTTGGTGGAGTTTGCATGTTCCCCGACTGGATCCCCCCTCCCCCACGCGGTCTGAACCTGGCTGTCCAGGTTGGTCCGCAAGTCTAAACTGACCCCTTCACGTGCGCGCACACAGAGACACGTGCAGGTCCACTCTTGCGCCCCCTGCTGGGGGGGGGGGCGGGGCTGTGTCTCAACCCCGACGTCTCCAGACAGATAATAATAATAATAATTGCTTACACTTATATAGCGCTTTTTCTGGACACTCCACTCAAAGCGCTTTACAGGTGTAATGGGGATCCCCTCCACCACCACCAGTGTGCAGCCCCACCTGGATGATGGGACGGCAGCCATAGTGCGCCAGAACGCTCCCCACACACCAGCTCTCAGTGGGGAGGAGAGCAGAGTAATGAAGCCAATTCACAGAGGGGGATTGTTAGGAGGCCATGATTGGTAATGCCGATGGGGAAATTTGGCCAGGACGCCGGGGTTACACCCCTACTCTTTTCGAGAAACACCCTGGGATTTTTAATGACCACAGAGAGTCAGGACCTCGGTTTTACGTCTCATCTGAAGGACGGCGCCTGTTTACAGTACAGTGTCCCCATCACTATACTGGGGCATTAGGACCCACGTGGACCACAGGGTGAGCGCCCCCTGCTGGCCCCACTAACACCTCTTCCAGCAGCAACCTTAGTTTTTCCCAGGAGGTCTCACATCCAGGTACTGACCAGGCTCACACCTGCTGAGCTTCAGTGGGTTGCCAGTTGTGAGTTGCAGGGTGATATGGCTAAGGACTGAAACAGCAGAGATAGGGCCCCCCCTCTGGAAGGCCTGCCCTGTCTGTGTCTGCGGTGTCTTTGCTGAGACCAAGAATGACTGGAATGTACAGCACAACGCACAGCGGCTCCACGGTGTTTCACTTGTGTTCAGTAAGTGTATGCCGTGTGTGTGTGTGTGTGTGATTTCGCAAAGGAAAGAAATCCACTGTAAAAAGGGAGCACCGCTGACATTTAATGATATATATATTTCTTTTTATTGCAACTTTCTATCACAACACGCACGAGAGTACCTATAACCTCACCGTCAGCTGTTGCATCTGAAAATCAGAGGCTTTCATCGTCCGCGTGTGGAAACCGTCTGGGGCCCTCACGTCTGGGTCTCTTCCCAGGCCGTCTCGTTTCACGAAAAGTTGATCACATCGAAGGCAAACGAGGTTTTATTTTATTTTTTTTTCTCCAGCGGGATTAAAAAGTCACATTTTAAGTAACTATTCCCCCAAGAGGATGTGTCAAATTCATTTGGCAGGTCATTCTTTAGCCACAGCGCGTCACCAGAACCACAAATTGCAAACTTTCTGGTCATTATCAATGAGGAACTAAACACTAGCACTCCTGGTCTAAAAATGTTCTGGACTAAGTTGCAGACTTATATTAAAAAAGAAACCAATACTGATATATGTTTTGATGAAAAATATGTTGTGTTAAGTTTCAGCCCCATCGAAAACAATAGTAAATTTTCGTTTGTATTGAATGTAATTATTATAATGGCACGTTATTATATACATAAACTGAAGTGGTCTGGGAAGACCCCTGTGTTTGAGCGGTTTAAAATGGATGTGAGGGGGTATTTGCGGACTATTTCGAAGTGCAACAATATGAAAACGGTGCGCACATTATTTTTATTGAATGTGTTTAATCTTTTTTCAGGACTTGAATGTATGTAGTAATATGTACCCCTGACGTTCTTTTTGTCTTGAACTGTTACGTGTACTCTTGTCTGTATTGTCATTTCTGTTACTCTATTATGCATAAATCAATAAAAAAAACTAGCACTCCTGGTCCGCACGTGTTCGCTCGTAGCCAAACACAAAGCGGAACCCATTCATTCTCTCACGTGACCGGGGGGCTGGTGACGCAGCATTCGAACCCACCAATGAGGAACCCTCTCCCTTGGCAACGGACCGCCTCCCCGCGTAACGTAAACCGGTTTGTTTTTCGTTGGAAAGGGCGCCCCGGCCCAGGGGATATCCCATGATTCCCGCCGCCGGGCTGTCGCAAAGTGTCGCGCTAGTGGCTGGAGCTCCTCCACCGGCGGCCGGCCGCCATTTTGTAGCTCATATAGCGAGCGGAGAGAAAGAGGAGAGACCGAGATCGGGGACGGCGAGGTTCACATTTAAAATCAGTTGGGAGCTGGAAGGACCCCCACCCCTTTTCCGCTACTGGAGGCTCTGGGTCGCTGGTAGCCGCGGTTCCTGAGGGCGCAGAGTCGGCGAACAGAGTGTTTTTCTTTCTGGCTTTGTGACCGTGCGGGGTGGATGCGGATTGAGGTGAGTGGCACACGAGGCCTCCCCGTTCCTCCGGCGCAGGGGA